TGCCGCCCACTCAGAGGACCCTGGTACTAAGGCACTTCTGGTCTCCTGGACCTACCAGGATGAAGAGGTGGGAAGCTTTCTCACAGCACAGCTCAAAAATGGCCTCCCCCGGACCCCTAGCTGACATGTAACCACCAGCAGCCTACCACTCTATTGGTGAAATTATTAAGGCCACTCCACGTAGATAAAAGGAGATTTATTTAATGGCGTAACTTACAAATTAAGGGATAGGTAGGTCGCGGAGTCTGGGGAAGGTGTATCGCAGTCCAGCGGTGTTCTCTGGAGCTCTGCTTGGTACACCTCTCCAGTCCAGGGTCCCGCAACAGAGAGAGAGCCCGCCGATCCAGATCTCAGGTCCCCAGGCGCCTCCTTTCGCCCCGCCTTGTAGGCGTGACAGTTGCCGAAGTCTCAATGGGGGTTGGAACTTTCAGATCAAAGCTGGAATGGCTACCCACTACACCACTCTGTCTCTTACTGTTTGCCCAGCAGAAGGACCAGGGCTTTGGCTTTGGGAGGTGGGTGCCCTGAGTAAATGGAAGCTGTAACAGGGCCACAGACTCTGTCCTAGGGACAAGACCAGAGTCACAGGCTGGCTAAAGTAATAAAAAGAGTTGCCATGCCGGGCTGTGGTGGTGCACGCCTTTAATCCAGCACTTGGGAGGCAGAGCCAGGTGGATCTCTGTGAGTTCGAGGCCAGCCTGGGCTACCAAGTGAGTTCCAGGAAAGGCGCAAAGCTACACAGAGAAACCCTGTCTCAAAAAAACTAAAAAAAAGAAAAAGAAAAAGAAAAAGAAAAAAAGAGTTGCCATAATCATGGTGTCTCTTCACAGCAATGAAAACCCTAACTAAGACAATGTCCTTCAGGAAACACCCCTCTAGTGAATTTATTCAAGGAATGAGCTCCTAATATCACCAGTGCTGGTACAAAAAGTGAGGTATTTTGTGTTATCATTATTTTTTGCAGTTCAGAGACCAAACCCCAGGGTCTTGCGCATACCAGGCAAGTGCTCTACCATTGGGAGCCTTTAGGCATTTAAAATTTTGATTATTAGGGGTTAATTTATGCCACAAAAAGGTTGTACTATTACATTCTCCATAGTGTTATCTGGGTGTCTGATTCCTCCCTTATTAATAATACCAGATATTATCAAATTTGCAAAGTTTGCCCTTTTGGTTAGGGGTGGTGGTGCATACCAGTCATTTCAGAACTTAGGAAATTAAAGCAGGAGATTAGGGATTCAAGGTCATCTTCTTCAGCACACAGAGTTCAAGGCTAGCCTGGGCTATGTGCAATTCTGTTTCAAAACAAAGCAAATGAGCCCATGAGCCCGGGATGGTACAGACCTGAAAGTCTAGCACTAGGGAGGTTCTCCATGAGTTTGAGGTCTACAAAGCTAGTTCCAGGACATCTAGGACTACACAGAGGGATCCTGTCTCAGAAAAACAAAACAAACAAACAAAAACAAACAAGCAAAATCAATTTTGACATTTTTTCCTTTGAGTGTTAGACATTAATTTTAATGTGATTTCTTTCTGTATTTGTGGCTTAGTATTGTTTCCTACAATCGCTGGCCACGGGTGTTTCTCTTTTGTAACGTCTCTCTTTCAGGGTATCTTAACGGCTGTGTCTGTCTTCTCAGGGAAATGGCCTTTTTTGACCAATCCGAATGTCCCTTCATTTTCTGCCCATGTCTCTCAGCTGCTGGTCTTTTTATTCTGCTTTAAAGATGGTCATCAACACTGTCACCCATTTTACTTGATTCTGAAACAGTCTAAATTATTACATTTGAAAATCAAAGAAGTATGTGAAGCTTGAGCTTTTCCTGGAGTTAATGGTGTTTAACAGCTAGTCTAAAAGAAATCGGAAACACCTTTGAGCAGGTGAGCGCCTTTGTCCATGGATTTACTGCTTCCTTCATGTCTTTACTTCCTGAAAAGACAGAGCCAAGAGAGACAGACCCCACGTGAGGGAGACAGGCAAGGCAGGGGAAGGGTGAGATGTTTTCAGGTCCTTTCACCTGAAGAGGAAAAACATCCACAGGCACCCAAGGAGATGAGCTTTGGAAATCAGTTGGCTTCAGGGTATTTTTTTATGGAAATCATGCTTTCCTTTTCGTGATGCAGGGTTCTTCACCCATTTTCTACCTACACTGACTGGCTACATCAGGCCTTTCTAAGAAAATTGTCACAGTATGTGTAGTGTGGTTGTCTTCCAAGCTAGCCCGGAAGCAACGATGAGGCAGCACAACTGAGCAGTCCTGTTGTATTTCCGGGTTGGGGTAGTGAGTGCCGATGGTTCGTGCTTAGTGGAGAGGCAAGCAGGGAAAAGTGCCCCTAAATGGGAGGATGGGGTGCGATGGGTGGGAGAGAAAAGAATCCCTAGGGAGGAAAGAGGGCACAAAAAGCCGAGGTTTCAAGGCGGCAGGAACCCAGCTTCAGCAGGACACCATCCACCACCGATTGTGAGAGCCCTCCCTGGCAAGGAACAGATGACATTAGTAAACTTCACAAGCTCAGGCGCCGCTCAGGGCTGTGAGGATAGCTGCCCACAAGTCAGAGGTGGGTACTTCACGTGAAAGGGGAACGCGGCTGCAAATGGTCCCCACATTTTTATCTTTTAGTTTCCTCGAGCCACTCTGAAAATGCTTAGGGTTTGGAAGGAACAAGGGTCCCATGATGGCCTTACTGGGGCTAAGCAGATCTTTTGTGCCTCTTTGGGGCACGAGGCCCACCCCGTTCTCCTTCATCAGACCTAGGCAAGGCCCCTCGACTATCTGCTGGTGACTGGGTTAAGGACTTTCTAGACAACTGCATTGGCTGGGGGTGATGGATACCTGCAATCCAGCGTCTGGGAAGCATTTCACATCTTCACCACCAGAGGCCGCTGTTTCTCCATGCTCAGACCAGCCACACCGCCAATGTCCCTTCAGAAATGCAAAGGAATTCCACAAATTCAGACTCCTTGGTGCCCTCCCCACCTTCCCTTCCCCCAATCTGAGACCTGTCGGACACAGGACATTGCAGGACATTGGGAATGTGGCTTTGAAGACTCACAAGTAGAAGTATGAACTGGAATGTGTAATTTTTTTCCTGGAATAGAGTTTCTTTCTGTGGTATGGGCCTGATCACTTGTTTGTTTTTGCTTTTTGTTGTTGTTGTTGTTGTGTTGAGTTTTTTGGGGGGGGTGTATTGGGGGAGTTGGTCCCTTCCTGAAAAAGGACGGCTGGGTTTCAGAGATGTGGGTCCTGGGCTGGGAAGATTCCGATCAGGTCAGTGGTCTCCAAACTGGGGGTATGTAAGATGATCTGTAAGAGAGAGAACATTCTATAACATGTATTTATGTCCTTACCATATTATTTTAAAAATAGAAATGTGAGACTCTGTCTCAAAATACCAAAAACAAAACAAAACAAAAACAAAAACAAAAAAACAAAAGAAAACAAAAAACCACTTTGCTCTCCATATTGGTGCTGGTACCTTTATGAGGTGTGTCAAAAGGTCCTGGGTCAGCAAAGTGTATGTGATGGAAAGCTGGGGAGGGAGCAGAGCCACCTCCCTGGGACCAGGACTCTGTATCACATACAACATTTCTACTTACTGGTGGGACAGGATGTCACAAAGTAACTAAAGGAGTTCTCACAGAAGGAATGAGGGAGGGGCTTTTAAGCATCCTGCTCTTCAGAAACAAGAGCGGAAAGCAAGCAGCCAGTACCTGCATCTGAGCAGGGGGAGTGCCTAAGCCGTCACTTGCATGCCTGTCTGAACTCTTAGCAGCATTATGACATTAAGCCAATGACAGCTCCGGCAAGGTGTGACGTGCAAATTCAAACCTGTCAAATCTTTTGAAATGATGTCAGCTCTCATTTATGACGAGGCTTGAGGTAATATCAAAGGTCTCCATGCCTTGATATTAACAGCAGCTAGTGACAGGGGCGCTTGTTCACGGCGTATTAGGAATGCGGGCAAAATCATGCTGAAGCTGAGGACGTGCGTGGCACAGCCAAGCAGGTAGTGTTCCTATCTTATGGACTTCGTTTGTTCGGGGCCAAGCACCTGGGCAACTGGATTCTGTGAAGACTGTGGCTAGCAGGGCTCAAGTGACAGACACTAGAGCCGTGACCCATAGGAACTTTGATTCTAATGATGACTAAAGCCTTCACATCAGGGGTTTTTTGTCTGGCTTTGTTCTGCCTCATGGATGTCTGGTACCTGGTCCAGAAAGAAAGGAGATACGAAGAGAAGATGGTGTATTGTTCACCTGCCTGCTTTGTGGGCTTCTCTGCCTCCACCTTGCTTTACTGTGTATTTCCTCTCCCCGGACAACAGAAGGGCCTTCCTGGAAACTACATTCCTCTGGGGAATTATTTTTCAGTGACAGAGGATTAAAGACGTCATCTTGTGGGATTTGTCCAATCTTGACAGAGGAGAAGTCCATACTCAATGGATTTACTGAGAAGAAAAGCAAAGTCAATTCTATCGCTTTTGTTTAAGTCCCACAGCAGGGTTCCTTGGGATGAGTTTCAAATGTGCAGAAGTCCTGGACCCTACTGATGACCTCCTGACTAAGAATCCCTGAGTGGGAGAGGAGCCATGTTGACAAGCCTGCCTCCCCAACTCCAAACTAAGATGAACTTGAAAACTTTGCAGAGGTTGGGGTGTAGTGCTCTTGCCCAGTGTGCGGAAAGGTCTAGGCTGGATTGCCAGCAGTAACTGGTGTAATGGCGTATGCCTGTGATCCCAGCCCTCGGGAAGTAAAGAACAACTCACGAGCTAAAGACTCCATCTAAAATGTGTAAAAGAAGGAAAGACTAGTGAGATGGCTCCGTGGTTAAAGGCACTTGTCATCAAGCCTGATGACCTGAGTTTGATCCTCAGAGAAGAGAACCAACTCCCTAAAGTTGCCCCTTGACCTTCACACAATGCCATGTCATGCACACACACATGCACGTATGCATACAAAAATAAGTCACTTAATGTAATAGAAACAAAGAGGGCTCAGAGGTTAAGAACACTAGCTGATCTTCCAGGGGTCCTGAGTTCAATTCCCATCGATCACATGGTGGCTCACAACCATCTCTAATAAGATCTGGTGCCCTCTTCTGGTCTGCAGGGATACATGCAGGCAGAACACTGTATACATAATAAATAAATAAATCTTTAAAAAAGAAAGAATAGAACAGAAAAGAAAATTTGTAAACATCTTATTATCTTGGGGCTGGAGGGATGTCTCAGCAGTTAAGAGCACTGGCTGCTCTTCCAGAGGACCTGGGTTCAATTACCAGTACTCACATGGCAGCTCATAACCATTTGTAACTCTATTCCTGGACCTCTGATGGTTCCAGGCACACACATAGTGCACAGACATACATGCAGAACAAACACCAATACATATAAAATAACTTTTCACAAGACCTTATCAGCTCATTTTTTCTTATGGAATAGGTAGGGCCTGGTAGTTTTCTATCAATTCAAAGCACAAGGATGGCGAGGCTCTGCTGAAGCCAGCTACCCACCTATGTAGGAAAGGCAGACCAGAGTGGGCTGTGCAGATGGGGATTGGGCCTGTTTATGAGACTGAGCTGATCAGTTTCATGCAGCTGCTGGACATACAGAGGTCTGGGGGTTGACATGGCTCTGGCTGGAAGTATTACCAACGCAAAGGGGCCAAATTTCTGGGACTAATTCTTCCCTGAAACCAGACCTTGACTAGGGAATTTTTGATCACATGCATCTTCAGAAAGTGACTTCGGAGCACAGGCTTACAGGATTAAACTCAAGGCCATCAGACACGATGGAAACTCGCTAACAAAACACAGGCACAGGGACATAGTAGCCTCAAGATATGAAAGAAGATTCTAGAGGCAAGAAAGAGTGCCCACTCTTGAGGAAGAACCTTCACTATGTTTCTCAGGACTCCACTAAAGCCCTTCCTAGACCCCCCCCCCCACTACATATTCTGTGAGAGATGGCTCCAACACCCATCTTTGCCCCTCAGCTGGACCTGGACCTGCCTCTACCTTGTCACTTACCACAGTCACCTCCAAGGAATACCAAATCTCTCAGTAGCAGGGCCTGAGTTTCATAAATATTTGAGAAATGGATAGACTCATCACGGGGGCTTCTTTTGAGTCTGGCTTAGTCATTATCATGTTAAGCATCCTCATGCCCTCCACTGAAACATTGTCTTGGTGTGTCCATTTGATGAAATGCCAGGGCAGCGGGCCGAGTGTAGAACCTCCATGTTCTGTGTCATGAGGAGGAGGGAGAGCTGGAGCCAGGGCGACACCCTCAAACCCAGGGCTTCATGGCTTCCTTCCACCCTGTTGCTATTAGCCTACCTGTAGACTTGGTGGGTAAGACCTATGCCAGCTGAGAAAGGGCCGCTTTATCTTCCTGCTTGATGAGACTCAGAAAACAGCTACCCAAGGTAAGCTGGCTATCAAGCTCAACCTTGAACACAGCGAGCGCTCCCCCACTCTTTCGACAAGCTGACATGCTGGCCAGCGAGAGCTTGGCTCCTGCTTTCTCACCCTCCTGCATGGTGAGCAAGGAGGTCTCAGGCTGTCTTATGTTGCTGCCTCAGTGGGTATGTGGGCAGATAACTGTGTTTCTGTGTAAACATCATTCATTTGTCTCTCCTTTCCCCCAAAGGAAGACACAAGTCAACAAGCCGGGAAAACGGGGAAGAGCCCATGCTTTGCCCCATTGCCCAACAACACTACTGCCCAGGAACGTGGACAGCTTCCTCCACGAAGAGTAGGTGAGCCTGACACATCCCTCTCCCTTAGATTGAACATTCACTGCCTAATCCTGGCAAAAAAAATCCTTTGCTTATGCCTTTGAGCAGCATTTAGATATGGAGATATGGTACAGTTGTGTGTTCGTGTTGGTGTGCTTTTGAAGGTACCTTTTTTTTTTTTTTTTAGATTTATTTATTTTGTATACAGTTTTCTGCCTGCTTATATGCCTGCATGCCAGAAGAGGGCACCAGATCTCATTATATAGATGGTTGTGAGCCACCATGGGGTTGCTGGGAATTGAACTCAGGAACTCTGGAAGAGCAGCCGCACACTCTTAACCTATGCGCCATCCCTCCAGCCCCCAAGCTACCTTCTTAGGGCCTCGACGTTCATCCTTCTCAGCGATCCTAACTGTATGGCCCTGATGTATGGGGTCTACTCATTGTGCCCAGGGCCACCAAGGAGCAGGACTAACTACATCTCCTTCCCCCCACAAGACCTCACCCGAGTCTCGAAAAAGTCACTCTGTGGGCGCAGAGTAACTGGGCCAAGGCGAGGCCTGCCACTCACTCGTCTGGGTCTCTAGCCTTGAAAGTACCTACAGGAAGGTGACACACTGGGTAGTGATTTCTCCTGAGAGGAGGCAGGGGTGGGGTATGGGAGGCAGGTACCAGGATGTTCAGAAAAGGTAGAGCTGCAAACATTGGAGTCACAGAGTCTGGAATCTGGAAGCTTCCAGCAGAAGCAAAGTGGTGATCGAGGCTCCAATCCAAACAGCGGTCAGAGGAGACCCCAAGGGCTCCTTGCCAGCCCCGACCGCCAGGGGGCGTCCGCACAGACTGGGGCCGCGCTTCCCGGCTGGGCCTGCTGGGCAGAGGGGAGGCGGGGCGGGAGCCTGGGCTGCGATCTGGCCGCTGCCGGAGGAATGCGGCCTTTGGCTCGTCCCAGCATTCCGGCTGGCTCAGGAATGTGAACAGGGTGTTCACTGTGCGCCCTGGATGCACAAGTTGGTCCTCCTCCCTCCGTTGAACACCAGGCAGAACCTGGTCAGCCACCCCACTGAGCCTGCAGAACGCGGCGGCCCTGTCCATCCAGGTGGAGGAGGAGGCCCTGGGAATGTCAGGGCAGCGGGTCCTGGCCCTAGGCCCCTGAAGGGAAGTGTTGGGGCCAGTTATGGCTTAGGGAAAACTCAAAGCATATATTTGGACATTTGGGGGAAAGGCCATTCCGTGGACGGAGGCATAGGATTTGCCCTTCTGGGCCGCCAGCCTCAAGGGACACAGGCTCAGATCCCTAGACTTGCTCACTTTGGGAGACCTGCTGTGTAAGGCAAAGCCTGAGACAGGAAGAGGAAAGGCAGATGACCCAGTGTGAGATTAGATGCTCTCAAACCAGCCCAAGTGACTGAATACCCAAGAGTTCGGCTTTAATTCGTTCCACAAATATTTACTGAGTCTCTATTCTGAGCCAGATCCTGAGCTCAATTCTGGGGACACAGATGTAAAGACATCTACTATCCCCCAGGAATTATTACATTCTTATTCTAACACCAGTCTTTTACCCACCGTGTGCCTGCCTGTGCGTGTGCGTGTGCGTGTGCGTGTGCGTGTGCGTGTGCGTGTGTGTGTGTGTGCAGAAACACAGGAATAGCCCAGATTGGGGGCTGAGATCCAGGAAGGGTTTCCTAGGAGACCCTGGATAGCCACCTGAAAGGCCAGTGGGTTAGTGTTTTAGACCAAGGGAGTTTGCTTGTTGGGGGAAAGCATGTGGGCTGAGTGGTCTCAAAAGAGCCTGCCCAAATGCCCAGATCAATTACATTGAAGATGAAGTGTCTCTCTAGCAACCCCGTGGTGTTGACTGGTTTATGCAGCTCCCACTCTGCATGAGGTCTGGGGCACAGTCCTCTGCTCTGAGGGTGTGGATAGCAATTGTAGGTGTTCGGCAGACACTGGCCTGTGTTTCCAGACCTTGCCTGGTTAAGCAACTTGGTTGGGTCCCCTTCAAGGTAGCAGTTACTGCTCAGAAAAGCCAGGCTGGGGTGGGTCTGATCTCTGGGGTGAGGGTGGGGGTGGGTGGGTGGGGTGTTGCTTGTCCCTTCCTGGTTTGGGAAGGCCTGTTCAGGAGAGGAGGCTGGTGTGGCCTGGTTATCACAAAGGTCCTAGAAGACCACAGGGCACCTGGTGTGGCTGACAGGAAGTGCTAGAGAGGAAAAGGGCCTGGCTTGGAGGTACAGTGTGGAGGATGGCTCATGGGCTGGGGACAGGATGCATGAGGCAATGTGCCAGGAAGGCTGGAGGTGGGCAGCAGTCCAGGAACCGAGTGGGCAGGAGGCAGTGCTCGGAGGTAGGGACCGAGGAAGCCAATGAGATTAGTGCTCTCAGGGAACGGGCTGCATGCAAGGTGGGGCCGGGACTCCAAATGCACTCTGCCATCTCCCCCTGGCGGGCTGGACCTGAGCTCCGGGGTCCCCAGAGGATTACGGCTTTTGCTTTGTGTCACAGATGTAACTGAGTGATGGAAAGGCAATGTTTACGTCCGACATTCCTTGTGGGACCTCCTCCCAGGAATGCATGGAGACCTGAGATCCTACGTCCAGAGGAAAAGTGGAAGGCCTTGGGAAGGCGTCTCCAGCATTGTTCCTCTGCAAACACAGGAAGATGGGCTTCCTCCAGCTTTGTGGTGCTCTCATCTGACCCCTCCCCCAGCCTGGGAGAGGGGGGCCACCGAGGAGTAGGTGGTCATGGAAAATAAACACCCACCTCTGCTCTGCTGACTTATTTCATGTTCTTAGAATTTCCTCTCTTGGAGTCTGGCTTTGTTATTTTAAAATTCCACAGGGCAGTGGGTTGCGGATGGGAAAATCCCTTACTCTTCTGGCTGTGAGGAGGCAGGTCCTCCACGCTGGGAGCTCAGAATGGATGCCCGGGAAGAGACGTGGCCTGGCTAACAGACCCTAGTCTCCAAGGGAGCTCCTGAGTCATCCTCCTGGGGAGGACCTCAGGCTGGGTGTGTGTGTGTGTGTGCCTTTGCGTGAGTGTGCCAGTCCCACAGCGGGGACGTGGCAGGGTTTTGGTGCCCACTATCTGGGCCCTGTCCAGACCAAAGCAGTGGTGATGGTGTGCCATTTTGGGGGAATGGTGGAGACACACAAAAGGGCTTCTAGGTGTGCCTGGGGAATGCTTAGGTTGAGCAGACACCCCCGGCCTACCATAGAGGCTGCCCATGCTCACCATAGGACCCAGGCCAGGGCCTTTTCTGGGTTGCCCACTGTGGTTTCTGCTTCTCTTCCTTCTCTCCGGAGCCCTGGTCACTCCTCATGAGATGTGTGCAAAGATCTGCCTACACAAGGATTCGTGTAGTGCCCGAGATCCCCCCTTCGCCGGTTCATTCATTAGCTGGTCCCACAAATACTCGGGAGTGCCTATGAGGTGTCAAGCAGAGTGCCGGGTGCTGGGAGCATAGAGCCAAACTGCACAGATTAAAACCAAGACAAACACCCCCACAGTGAGTGGTACTAAGTCTAGAATAGAGATCTGGTGGAAGCCATACCTTCCTAGTGTCTTTCCTTCATGACCCCTGCCCTCCATTGGACCACTCCTTCCCCCACGTCTTTTACCAAGCAGACCATAGGTAGGTGTGCACTTGTCTGGGCCCTTGTTGAAGGACAGGTGAGCTTCTGAGTGATTAGAGATGGAGGCAGTCCAGTTAAAAAGTATTTCTTTTTTTTAGTTTGTTTTTTTTTTGAGACAGGGTTTCTCTGTGTAACCTGGAACTCACTTTGTAGAGCAGGCTACCTCTGTCTCCCAAATGCTGGGATAAAGGTGTGCACCACTACCACCCGACTAGAAAGTATTTCTAATGTTGTGTTTTTCTCTCTGGCACAGACATACCCCTCAGATTGGCATGAATCATAACAATTCCCTCAAGCCTCCATCCGCTGACACAAGGTCAGATGCATAGAGAAGTAGAATTATCAAAAACAAACAAAAATCTTCATATTCAAAGTGGTTTATTTATTCATTTAATTTTGAGACAGGGCTCATGTAGCCGAGGCTGCCTTAGTCTCCTGAGGGCTGGGATTACAGGCATGAGCCACCACACCCATCATATGCAGTGCTGGGGATTAAACCCAGGGCATCATGTACATTAGACAGGCATTCTACCCACTGAACAAAGCCCTAGGCCTCGACTAACATTTTATTGTCTCATGTTTAAAAATAAGAATCCACCAGCCAGGTGGCGGTGGCACACGCCTTTGATCACAGCACTCAGGAGGCAGAGCCAGGCAAATCTCAGTGAGTTCAAGGCCAGCCTGGTCTACAGAGCAAGATCCAGGACAGGCACCAAAACTACACGGAGAAACCTGTCTCAAAAAAAAAAAAAAAAAAAGAATCCATCCAGGGAAACCCAGGTGGATTGGCTCAGGGTAAGATCCTATCTCAAAAAACCAAATTTACAAATGGTAAACAAATTTTAGCTGGGTGCTGCCGGTACGCACGTTTAATCCCAGCACCTGGGAGGCAGAAGCAGGTGGATCTCTGAGTTTGAGCCAGCCTGGTCTACATAATGAGTTCCAGGACAGCCAGAGCTACCCAAAGAAACCCTGTCTCGAAAAACAAGCAAACAAACAAATCAAAAGTTTATATTAACATGGGTTTAGTAACAATTCTGAGCTAGGCAGTATTAGGACCAGAGGGAAAGAAGACATCAGTGATGATGCTGAGGTCAAGACTGAATGAAGCGCTCTCAGGATACATGAAAGCATCGGGTCGGCTCGTGGCAGGCTGCTGAGTCCAGCTGTGCTCCTAGAAGTGAAACCCGGGTACACCGAACTCTGTAAGAGGGCGTGTTCAACCATCTCTTTTCTCTGAATTTGTGGTTTGTTTTTTTACTGCCTTCTCTCTGTTTATCTATGTTGTCTATGATTCCTAGGCATTTTAACCATGGATGCCTATTATTATTTTGTTTTATTTTACTTTTGAGAAAGGGTCTTACAAGGGACCCCAGGCTAGCCCAGAATTCACTCTGTAGACCAGGTTTGTTTCAAACTCATGGCAATCCTCCTGTCCTGGGCTCCCTTGAGCCACATGTCCCTCTTTGTTATCACTTCCTCCCTCCTTCCCTTTCTTCCTTCCTCCTCTCCTTCCTTTCTTTCTTTTTTCAAGTCAGAGATTCAGCAATCAGAAGGCAGAGGCAGGCGGATCTCTGTGAGTTCGAGGCCAGCATGGTCTACAAAGTAAGTTCCAGGACAGTCAGGGCTACACAGAGAAACCCTGTCTCAAAAAAACCGAGAGAGAGAGAGAGAGAGAGAGAGAGAGAGAGAGAGAGAGAGAGAGAGAGAGAGAGAGAGAGAGAGAGAGAGAGAACTGTAGTTGGGCATGCTGTTCTTTAGAGCCGAACTAATTTAGACTTGTTCAGACCTGAGCCTGAAGCATAAGAACTAATCAGACACCTCAAGTCTCCACACTAGAGACAGGACCACACACCACTGTTACTGGCAGAGCAGATGTTCAGTGCAGCTGGGGGACTCAAGGAAGAGGCCCCACTTGGGGCACGGTAGAGCTGGGCCTGGAATGCAGGCCTGTCCTGAGGTTCCAAATGCTGCACAGACAGGCAGTGTGTCTTGCATCTGGTGGAAGCTATGCCTTCTCCCTTCCTTTCATTCATGGCCCCTGCCCTCCACTGAACCATGCGTTCCCCAGATGCCTTTTACAAAGTAGACCTTAGGTAGATGTGCCTGGCCCTGATCTGGGTCCTTGTGGATGGCTAGGGAGGGAGGTAGTCCAGTTAGAAAGTATTTCCAATGTTGTTGTTGTCTTTTTCTTCTGGCATAGACACACCCACCAGATTGGCATGAATCACAGCAATTCCCTAAAGTGTCCGTCTGCCTGGAAATGCCTAGTGGTATTTCCCACAGTCCAGAACCATCAACCCTTCAAGGCAGTAGGCTTTACTATCCCCACCCAGCCACAAACCTCTCAGCCTAAGGAGGTCACAAAGAGAACAGTTGGAGGCAGAGGCATCACCTTTGGAAACTACAACCACTCTGAGATTTTGACCACGTGGTCTCTGAGCTGAGGTCCTTCCCCAGGGGGTGCTCTGTGTGGACAGAAGAGAGGTTCTGTCTGTCCTGAGAGGTGGGTTGTGAGGTGAGGTTCACCCCACCTGTGTGTGTTCCGTCCTGTCTAATGACTGCCAAGAGGTAAGGGTGTCCTTGGCTCTGATTGTGAGTGCAGAAGATACCAACGCCATGACAATATTGCAGCTAACCACGGCTCCGCAGGAATTGTTATGCAGAAGGTTCTGGAGAGATGCCTTTAAAGGAAGGTGCAGTCCTCTTCTTGACCCTTCCTCTCTCTTGTGGCCATTGGTGCAGTTGTTGTAATAGCTGGAGTTCTAGGAACCTTCTTGGACCATGAAGACAGGGTAGGGAAAATACTGGCCCTTGAAAAGAAAAGAGGAATACCTTTAACTGCATCAAAACTTGAACTCTTCATGTGAAAAGACGACACAAAAGCAACACACGAACAGATTTAGAGTGTATTTGCAAATCAGAGAATAAAAGGTCCCCAAATCATCTAAAAGTTGGTGAATACGTAAACGTGGATATCTAAAAACTGGAAGAAATAAATGACTCAATAGAAATATTGGCAACTGATACAAGAGCCATTCCAAGAGCCAAAAATTATGAGAAACTACTGGTACTAGCATGATTAAGTCAACGTGGAACAAAGTGCTGGGTACAGAGCCTCATACCTGTACTTCCGGCTCTTGGTAAGCTAAGCCAGAAGAATCAGGTTCATTCTCGGCTATGGAACAAGTTCAAGGAGAACTGTGTTTATATTGTACAGCTAAACAATAAATAGAACAAAATCAATAACAAACCAATTAGGGCCAGCAAGATGGTTCAGCAGGTAAAGGCACTTGCTACCAAGCCTGATGATCAGAGTTCAATCCCAGAGACCCACACAATGGAAGGAGAGAACTGACTCAGAGTCCCTCCGCAGGCAAGTCATGGCAAGCACACACCACACACATCCCATGCATACACACAACATAAATAAAATGTAATAACGTTTTAAAAGAAAAAGAAATGTAATACTTAACTGCTCTTATTACTAATGCACCTACAGATAAGAGAGTGTTCAGAATCAATGCTTATGGAAATGTACATTTGTAGACCCTTCAAAAGCCACTCAGGGCTGGAAAGATAGCTCAACAGTTAAGAGCACTGGCTGCTCCTCCAGAAGACCTGAGTTCAGTTCCTAGCGCCCACATGACAGCTCACAACTGTCTGTAACTCCAGTTTCAGGGGATCCAATACCTTCACACGGACATACATGCAGGCAAAACACAAAAAAAAAATGGACATGAAATAAAAGTAAATTATTAAAAGAAAGCCACTCAGTTAGAAATTCTTATATGAGTGGTTTATAGGGCTAGACAGATGGCTCAGGGCTTAAGGGTATATACTTCTCTTATAGAGGACCTGAATTCAGTTCCTAACACAATTCACACCTGCCTGGGGATCCAGCTCCAGGGGATCCGATGCCATCTTCTAGCCTCCTCGGGTATTGCACTTGAGTGCACATACCCCTATACACACACACATGCACACACACACACACACACACACACACACACACACACACACACACACTTAAATCTTTAAAACCAATGGCTTACTTAAATACTGTGTAATATTCTTTGGAAAAAAAGAACAAAAATCCATCACTAGTTTAATTCTATCATTAGTCTTTAAAATTTATTTAT